TTTGAGCAGATGTTTTCATCCTACAGGGCACTGGCAGGTGTTAGTTTCAGGGCTGGTTCTCCTGCCCAGTTGAGGGAGGATACCAGGTGAACAGTGTCTGATTCCCTGGACCTCCTCCTCTTGCTCACAAGGTGGCATCAGGAACACCAGCCATCACAGCTACACAAAACAATGTCCAGAGCAGGAAGGACTAGGAGCAGAAAGCATTTTCTTTTCTTTCTTTGGAGGAAAATAATTTCTAGAAGCCTCTTGCAGTTTCCTGTAGAGTCTCATTGGCCAGAATTGGGTCACATGTTCATCCCTAGACCCTGCACTGGCCCAAGTGAGGGAGTTGCCATTACCGGCTGGCTCAGACCAGTCGGGATTCACCTGTTGGCCTCTGGGACATCCAGTTCAAGTTCAAAGGAAAGGCTGGTCTTAATGGCAAGGAATAATTCCCATAACGAACACAAAACCCCTTCCTTTCAAACTATTTTCTTCATAAAAACCCTTCTACCTTGGCCTATCCTGCCATGAGTTCTTTGGAGTGAAAGGACTGAAAAAGTGAAAAAAGTCTTGGTTTTCCCCCAGGACGGAGATTTACTCTGAGAGAGTGTGTGACCTGGAACTCCCTTCCGTCGTCATCTGTTTGTCACCGCCATGTTGTTAACAGTTTCCTCTCACCTCACCTCATAGATTTCCTGTGCTATCATGACCTCCCATAGCTGCGGCAAGCCTAGCAAACTCCCGGCTCATTTCCTTTTCATCTGGAGACCAGGGGAGCTTGGAGAGAACCTTCTTTGTCCCACGTCCTTTAATCTGTCCCGATTATGGCCTCAAAAGTTTCAGATTAATATTGAGGGGATTTATAAACCTTCCAAAAATCACAAATGCATTCTCAACCTGCATTATCCCTCACATCTTCACAGAGAAGTGAGGCAGATTGCTAGAGGGAAGTGACCAGATGTCTCTGAGAGCCCCTTGCACTATCTCTGTGCTGGTCAGCTCCCTCTCCACCCCCTGCCCACTATCTACCACAAGGGCCTGACTTCCCCAAGTGCAGATGGTCCCCTCTGTGGTATCTTATTGTCTTTGGTTCAGCCAATAGGAGGCAGATCAGGAGGAGTGAGGCTGGGTCTCTCTCTCCCTCATCCCTCTTTAGCTCCGGATGGCTCCAGTGTGACTGTCCCCTCCCCATCTGCAGGCTTAGGGGATTCTCAGCTCCTCTGGGGGATTTGTCACTCTTCACGGTTTTCTTGACACAGCCCCCACTTCTGTCCAGATTTCCCTCATCACATTCTCAAAATCCCGCAGATTGTGGCTTTTTTGTCCTGTCAGGGACATGACAGATGTGTATACTTAAGATATAGACCCTTCTTCTTTGGGACCCCACATATAACACGGAACTATGTGATTTTTGTGTTATTGTTTGCTTTTTAACTTGCGGGTCTTCCTTTTCTGACACTACAGTAATATTCTAGAGGCCTCTGACTCCTCTCTAATGCTAGACTGGGTTGGATATTTATAGATAAAAAGGACTGCAGGTGAGGAGGAAGAGGTATTTTATGCTAACCATTTTATGTGGATGTTAATATTCTTAGTTGGTTTTGCTTTTTAAATCCAGTAATTTTTAAGCGCCTGAGGTTTCTGCATCATTTGGATAAACTGTGACACATTTTTTACACATCCACATTTGGCACCTGCCTCCACATCACACATGCAGCAGCCCTGGGGTGCCCACTGGCGCAGCCCATCCCTAGCTCGGAAATCCCTTCGTTCCACAGTCCTTCCTCCACCAACAGAAGATCTGCAGGAAATAGTCTGTATCCCGTACAAATCCAGCTGGGGAGCCAACCGTGGCTGTAATTTGAAAAGAAATAGATGGTGTTCATGTGACAATGCCCCACACGACAGCAGCATCCCTTTTCCTTCTCATCCCCAACACTCCCCCTCGTGTCCCAGGCCAGTGGTAGGACTGTGGAACGGGGAACTGAGTTCCTTGTCATCCACATCTGGATCTAGTCTGGCATAGCAGGTGTCATTTGAAGGTCACAGGGGAAGGTACGTGGTACCTTAGTTGTATTTGTGGAACCAAAATGGAACTTGCCACCATTTCCACATGGCCCACCCAAGAGGGCCTCATGCCAACCACGTGACAAGCATTCTGGTGGCATTTTCTCTTTTCCCTTGGAAGACTCTTCCCTGCAGGTAAGGGAGGGTCAGCATGAGAGGAGCAGCTGGTTCTACAGGTCCCCACAGCAACCTTCCCCCTGCCCCAGACTGCCAGCACAGTACATCAAACAGCAATAGTCACAGTCAGTATGGACAGTTAAAATAGAGTGGGCCAAACTGTGGAACAGAGCTGGCTGATCACTGTTCTGATCGGGTGCTGGCTCTTTGTACAAGGAACGTGTGCTTTTTGTGGTGAACAATGACAGCAGTGTAGCAGTGTTTGTGTCACAGGCAGGAATCTGAGTGTAAAGGCACATGGGGATTTGTGGGTGCAGGTACGGTGCAAGGTCACAGCCCAAATGATGCCTACTGGGGAGTCTTTAGGCTGGAGGCGAGAGGAAGGTCTGATGAAAGGTGGAGGAAGAATGTTGAAAAGCCCCAACAGAATCTCGGCCTCGCTAGCTCCTTTACCTGGCCCCTCCTTTGCGCTGTAAGACTCAGGACAGACCCTTACTGCTCTTCCCTGGCCCTGGGAGCTTGTCACCTGTCCCCTGCTCTGGGTCCATTGCTGGACTTTACACAGGGAGCAGCCACACATCTGGCTCCTCCTCACCACCCCCTAAGCTCTCAGAAGGAAGTTAGAGCCTGGCTGGACTGGGGGGCTCCTCACAGGCAGCAGAGCTGTCCCTTAGCAGGCATGCCTTAAATATGTTTTGGATTAAGTGTTTCAGTTTAAGGTGACATTAGAGCCAGGCCAGGTCTTAGATAATAACCGGGTCTTTCCATTTGTAGAGGCCTGTAACCATGCTTCAGCTGTGGAGCTGTGATTTTCACTCCCATTCTTCTCGTTTGTTAGATTTCACGCATGTGAGGGTCACTCTGCCATAGCTTGATCAGTCAGTCACTGGGATCCTTCTCTCTCCCTCCTCTTGGCCAGCCTCCCTCCTATCACCTGCTCCTGTTCCCTCTCCACCTCCTCCCTCCTCATCATCTCTCCATCAGTGATCTCCGCGAGTGGTACTGCTTGGCTTCAGAACACCCCCTCGTGCATTTCTTTCTACCTGTAACAAAAAACATCCCAAGGGGATTTGGTGGTCTTTGGGGAGGTCTCTTACTCTGTTATGTTTCCAGCTCCCACCCGTCCTGACAGCCTCTCTTGGTTTTGCTTCCTAGACCAGGAATCTCACTGTGGATGGACGCTTTGGCGCGTGGTCTCCGTGGACGCCCTGCACGCACACAGATGGCAGTGCTGTGGGATCTTGCCTCTGCCGAACCCGCTCCTGTGACAGCCCGGCCCCACAGTGTGGTGGCTGGCAGTGCGAGGGCCCCAGCGTGGAGATCGCCAACTGCTCCAGGTGTGACACACAGGACACTGGGGGTGTCAGACTCAGACTCCCAGAGGTCTGGGAAATCGCTCATAACACAGGCCAGATTTACTTTTTGGTATAGAATGTTGGCAAAATGACAAAGATATTTGCCACTTAAATATCACCTGTGGAGGAAAATTGTAAACGATAAATTATAGATCTAAACCTGCTCATATGTTCATTGTTAGATGAGGAAAAATATTCCTTTTTTGTTGTTGTTGTTTTGTTGTTTTTCTTTTTGAGACAGAGCCTCAAGCTGTCCCCCTGGGTAGAGTGCTGTGGCATCACAGCTCACAGCAACCTCCAACTCCTGGGCTCAAGCAAGTCTCTTGTCTCCGCCTCCCAAGTAGATGGGACCACAGGAGCCCACCACAATGCTCGGCTATTTTTTTTTTTTTTTTTTTTTTTGGTTGCAGCCATCATTGTTATTTGGCAGCCTGGGCTGGATTTGAACCTGCCATCTTAGGTGTATGTGGCTGACGCCTTAGCCACTTGAGCCACAGGCGCCGAGCCAGGAAAAATATTTCTAATGTGCACAGCATGATTGGCTTGTTCAAGGAAAATATCGTGTTAGTTAAGAATCTTCCTCTGAAATATGTGCGTTCCTAGTCCCTGACTGGTGGAACCTGCTACATTAGTTAGGAGATGGGTGAAGCCAAGGCTCTGATCAAAAATTCTCTGCTCTATGTAATGCATGAACTCAGGACCCCCAACTCAGCTAGCAACAGGCACTCGGTGGCCGGGGACAGTTTAGGAACAGCACAGAGCGAGTTTCCTGCGTCCTCTGCTTCTGTCCTGCTGACTGCTGGAGTTTGGTCACACTCCACGCAGCACTCTTTCCCTTCACCTGTAGCCGGTGACCACAGAGATATTTTAAGCATGGATCAGGAAAGCTTCTGAAATCAGCCTCTAAACCTCCTCCTCATTTGTTCATTAATTTAGGGTATTTTCAAAAAGTACTATCTTCTTTCCATGAGCCTATTGAAAATGGGAAAAATCTCAGGGAAGGTAAAATGCAGACTTGGTGATCAAAGCGTCTAAGACCCCAGGGCGTCTCTAAGAGGGGGAGGGAGGCTAGAAGAGGAAGCGCAGGTGCAAAAGGCAGACTCTGTCCTCTGCTCCCGTTCTGCACACCACACAGCGAAGGGAGTAACTCAGGCTGCGGAGATTAGGCTGTTTTGCATGATAGGAGACAAGGGCCTATCAAGTATATTACACATTGCCTGCTTTCTGTGAAACTAGGTAGTTTCCATCGAAGCCTGCCAGAAACTTTATAACAGCTATCAAACTGCTATTGTCAGAAGATTGTAATAGAGTACCTAATACCCTCCTTGCATTGTTTAATGGCTGAAGGCTTACCAAGTGCATTGCTGTGCCGGGTTTATTGATACATCTTCTGTTCTCGTTTTAGTTGGAAAGTCATTCTCTGCAGAGCTGCAATACTGCAAGTGGTTATTTTAAGATTAAAAATTAAATAAGTGAGCTGGTTTTACTGATGCTTTAAATACATGAGGGGACTGCCTTGTACTGACAGTCACAAAAGTGATCCACCTGCTGACACAGGCTTCCTTTGTGCTCTAATCAGCACGGGGAAGTGTGAGGCCCAGGTCCATGTCCTGAATTCAGACATACACAATTACACTCACTTATCTCCTCATTCATTAAAGTCCTGTTACTGACACATACTTTTTATTTATTTCCTACCTTGTATACAAGTTCCATATATTATAAATTGACTATATCATAAAATTTTACGTTTGTTAATGTTGGAAGTTCTCTTTTCTGCATTATCTCTATTTTAATCAGCTATTTTTAATTGCACACAAATTGTATGGACACCCTGTATATAAAGAAACTTTAAAAAGGTTATTTTATTTGTGTTGAAATTGCTATCTACGTTTGGATGTAATTTAGTGACTAACTTGGACATATTTTAAGATTGTAGGTAACAGAGTTTAAGATAATAGCTAATTAAATAGGAAGACCTGTCTTATTTTATCATAATTTTAGTTAAATTGTCAAAAAAGCAGCTTTACTATACTATCATACATACATATATATTTCACTTGTGTCACCGTTTTGGTAAATAGGTAAGTACTTTATATATATCATTAAGTTTCAGTAAATAAAGCAGGAAATACAAAATATACTAAGACTTTTTCCAGAGGAATTTTTATTTGAAATTATTATTATTGTTATTAATTTTTGGTAGAGACAGAGTCTTTTATTTTTTAATTTTTTTTAAACTTTTTCAGTGGTTTTTTTTTTATTTTTATTTATTTATTTATTTATTTTTGCAGTTTTTGGCCAGGGCTGGGTTTGAACCTGCCACCTTCAGCATATGGGGCCAGCACCCTACTCCTTTGAGCTACAGGCGCTGCCCATCTTTTTTTTTTTTTTTTTTTAATAGAGATAGAGTCTCACTTTATCACCCTCAGTGGAGTGCTGTGGCGTCACACAGCTCACAGCAACCTCCAATTCCTGGTCCTAGGCCATTCTCTTGCCTCAGCCTCCTCAGCAGCTGGGACCACAGGTGCCCGCCACAGTGTCTGGCTATTTTTTTGTTGCAATTTGGCCAGGGCCAGGCTTGAACCCGCCACCCTTGGTATATGGAGCCACACTGTCCCCTGAGCCACAGGCACTGCCCTATTTGAAATTATTTTTAAAATTGTATAATTAACTTATTACTTATACTTGGATCTTCAAGGGCACAGTTGAGAACCTGCATATTTTTATAGAAATGCATAAAGTAAAACTGAGAAATAATATTTTTTTTTTGCTGAGGGACATGCAGATGGATGTCTATCTACTAGGTGGATGGATGAGAGTACATATATCCTGAGAAATGTATATATTATTGCAGATGTAGAAAAAGAAATTCTACATGGTTTCCACAGACCATCTCTGTGGAGTTTGAAATCTAAAGTTAATAAATATTTTAGCACATTAAATTTTTAAAAATACCTGTAACTTATTTTTTAATAGCAGGGAAAAAACTGCTAAAGGAGCTATTTAAATTATAAACAGTCGGAATTCAGTCACTTTAAGGAAAAAATGCAACACTTAACAATCCCTCGAGTTATCAGTAATGATTTGTTTATTTTATATGCCACTTTTTAAAAATTATTTCATTTTACTTTTTATATGTATATGCATCTACATTATCCCATAGTATGACATAAATACACATCCATATATTTATATACAATTTCTACTTCTTATTTATGCTCTTTAAAGTCTCGTCAATGTGTGTTAAAATAGCCAAGAGTCTGAATTTGAAGTTCTTTCTTTCATTTTTAACAGTGTTTGTTTTAAACCTTCAAACATTATGTGAACATTACGGCACTCTGTCAATACGATCACTGTCAGCAAAGTCCCTGATGGTCGCTGATGTTAATAGGTTTTAAAAGAAAATGTTATATATAATTTCAGGTGGTCGTTTATTCTAAGTCGTACTTTTCATAGATTATAAATGATATAATACACATCAGAATATCATTAGTCTACTCTAGAGGTTTAGGGATTCTTTTCTAAATGCTATTCAGTGGAATAGCATTATTCTTCATTAGCTTAATATTTTCGTAACTTGGGTTTCCTAACAGTTTCTAATATAGCCCATATGAAATTATTTATAGTGCACTTAAAACTTTATTCCTAAATGTCCTCTCTTGGCTATAAACTGGATGCTAGTGGGTGGAACTGACAGTAATTGGGATTTACAGGGCACAGTCCCTCAGTCCCAGAGTCAGATGACGTCCTGGAACGAGGGCTTGTGACCCTGGGTGCAGACAGGAGCTAGGGTGGCGGAGTGATCATATTGCTTACTCTTCCCCCAGGAACGGAGGCTGGACCCCCTGGACGTCCTGGTCCCCCTGCAGCACCACCTGTGGGATCGGCTTCCAGGTGCGCCAGCGCTCCTGCAGCAACCCCACGCCCAGGCACGGGGGCCGCGTGTGTGTGGGGCAGAACCGCGAGGAGAGGTAGGTGCCCGTGCTGTGCCCAGCGTCGCCGCCACCCTCGCGCTTCCTCCCATTCCAGCCAGGCCTGTTTCCCTGCGGTTATGGTTGGATCTAGCTTAGCTTCCCTGTGGCGCCCCCTTCTGTTGAGCTGAAACGTCCCCTCCCTTTCCTGACATCCTTTAGTTTTGACCAAAGCCTCCTGTTGACAGCATCGTTGGGCTCCTCTTGTGCTGCGCAGTGGGGCTGACTCGGCTGAACGGTCCCCCAGGCAGTGGTGACCGAGGGACCACAGGCAGCCCTGTGCTGAGCTGCTGTTGAATGATTGTTCATGAAGAATTTAGCTAGACCAGTCTTAAAAGCTGTGATTCCAGGGAGGACCTACTAGGTTCCACGTCCAGAGCTGGGGGAGAGGGTTTGGTCTGAATTCAATTAGAAGCTGGAGCACGGGCGAGAACGTCTCTGGGTGTCAGTTGTGTTTATAACTGCTCCCTAGTCTGTTTGTAAATCCCCTCCATGCAGCCATAATGCAACTGAGAGTGGGAATTCTTTTCTGCACATATTTTAAGCTTTTAACACATCATGGCAACATTTCAGTTTAGTGTTGGATTTAATAACATACTTCTTTGTATAGTATTAGAATGTGGTTACTGCCTCAAAATCTGGAATTGTGATTTTTGAATCTTTCTTGACTATTTTATGTATATTCCAGTTTATCACTAGAAAAAACTTCAACTGGGTAAATTTCACAGCGATTTTAAGATTATTGCTTTGGTCTACTGATATAAACTGGATGGCTTTCAGTGCCTTTTAATTAGAATGTAGTAGGCTTGCATTCAGTGACATTAATTCAGTGGAGCCTTTTATAGAAATACTGGTAGGTATTTGCTATGTGATTAGTTTTGTGTAAACAAAACCATCACACCAACTATATATATAGGTAGTTCTCTACTAGGTATTTATTTTGACTTAAAATCAACTAGGAGATTCGATTCAATCCTTCCTTTCTACTCTGTGTGCCTCAATTACCAATTAAGATTTTTCATTCCTCTTGAGTAAGGAGGAAATGAAGATGATTTGTACAAAGCAGGGTCTGTCATTTTTGAAGTAGTCTCCTGAGACAGTCTCTGCAGGCCTGTCATTTCCTGGCTAATGCCAGTTAGTAAGTGGGAAATCTTATTATAGAAAATCATCTATCTGCTATTTCCAAGCCTTATATAATTAAAAATTGGTTAGAAGTTTTAAATGCTATAAATGATCACATGGCACAGGTTGAGCACCCCACATCTGAAATCCAAAATATTATAAAATCAGAAAGGTTTTGAGCACTGAAATGATGCCAAAAATGAAAAAAAATCTACAAATCATCTCATATTTCAGGTTACAGTCAAAATGCAGCTGAAACTTTGTTTCTTGTGCAAAATTATTAAATACATTGTATAAAATTACCTTTAAGCTATGTGTATAGGAAACAAGTGAATTTCATGTTTTTTTTATTAAATCATAGCTGTGCACATTAATACTATCATGGGGTACAGTGTACTCTTTCTGTATACAGTTCAAAGTACTTTCATCCAACTGGTTGACATTGCCTTCATGTCATTTTCTTTGTTATTGTGTTAAGACATTTATATTCTACATTTAGAAAGACTCACATGTACCCCCAAAGGATAAACCATAGACGTGATCCCACCAATCGCCCTCCCTCCACTCATCCTCCCTCTTACTCTCCCCTCCCTCTCCCCTTACCCCATATCTCCATTCTTTTTTTGAGACAGAGCCTCAAGCTGTCCCCCTGGGTAGACTGCTGTGGCATCACAGCTCACAGCAACCTCCAACTCCTGGGCTCAAGCACGTCTCCTGCCTCTGCCTCCCAAGTAGCTAGGATTATAGGCGCCCGCCACAACACCCGGCTTTTTTTGGGTTGTAGCCGTCATTGTTGCTTGGTGGGCCCAGGCTGGATTCGAACCCACCACCTTAGGTGTATGTGGCTGGCGCCTTAGCCACAGGCACCAAGCCTTTCTTCCTTTCTTGAGATACTTTGCTAAGAAGAATATTCTCCAGCTCCATTCATGTAAACATGAAGGAGGAAAAGTCTCCATCTTTCTTTATGGCTGCATAGTATTCCATGGCGTACGTGTACCATAATTTATTGATTCATTCATGGGTAGATGGGCACTTGGGCTTCTTACATGACCTACCAATTATGAATGGGACTGCAATGAACATTCTGTACAAATATCTTTATTGTAGTGTGATTTTTGGTCTTCTCGATATATACCTAGTAGAGAAATTATAGGATCAAATGGCAGGTCTATTTTTAGTTCTCTAAGTGTTCTCTAGATGACTTTCCAAAAGGGACTTATTAGTTTGCGTTCCCACCAGCAGTGTAGAAGTGTTCCCTTTTCTCCACAACCATGCCAGCATCTGTGATTTTGTGATTTTGTGATATGGGCTAATCTTACTGGTGTTAGATGATATCTCAAAGTAGTTTTGATTAGCATTTCTCTGATGATTAAGGATGGTGAGCATTTTTTCATGTATCTGTAGGCCATGTGCCTGTCCTCTTCAGAGAAGTTTCTCTTCAAGTCTCTTGCCCACCCTGAAATGGGATCACTTGCTCTCTTCTTGCTAATATGTTTGAGTTCTATGTGGATTCTGGTTATTAAACCTTTGTCGGAGACATAACCAGCAAATATCTTCTCCCATTCTGAGGAAAGATGAAATATTTGGGAGTTCACCTCACAAAGGACATGAAAGATCTCTATAAAGAGAACTACGAAACTCTAAAAAAAGAAATAGCTGAAAATGTTAACAAATGGAAAAACATACCATGCTCATGGCTGGGAAAATATTGTTAAAATGTCCATACTACCTAAAGCAATATATAATTTTAATGCAATCCCTGTTAAAGTTCCATTGTCATACTTTAAAGATCTCAAAAAAATAATATTTCATTTTATATGGAATCAGAAAAAGCCTCGAATAGCCAAGACATTATTTAGAATTTTGTGTTTAGACTAGGATCCTATCCCCAATGTATTTCATTATGTATATGCCAATATTAAAAAAATATGAAAAAAATAGGAGATCTAAAACACTTCTGGTCCTGAGCATTTCAGATAAGGGGTACTCAAACTATACAACCCATTTAGGCAAAATCATGTCCCTGTGTGCAAAGGTGTCACCAGAATCGAGGAGCTGCCACAAACCTAGTGTGTTATTACCTCTCCTGGGCTGAGCACACGCATGTGAGGTTAGCACACATATGTTTTCTGTACCTATATGATTTTTCATAAAGCGAGGTTTTAAAAAATGATTGGGCAAAATGAGGGGCAGTATGTTTGGGGGAATATAGTTAAAATGTTCCTTTTCCACAGGAAAAATGTTCATTTGTAGGTTAGCATTTGGAGGAAGTTTTGAATTTACGTACTGAAAAGATAGATGGCAAGAACAGAGTCTATACATGCACAGTTTTTATGAAATTTAAGCCTCCCCATTAAATAGTGTTTCTAGGGGGCTACCAAGAGGTTAATGAAAACTAGCAAAACCGAGTTCCTGATGTTTCTTCCTTGGCCTTCACAAGCAAAAGACTCTTAGATTTCACTGCCCTGTGAAGAGGAGGGTCTTTCCCTCTGAGAAATATAAAAGACACACCACTGTGATTCTGGCAGTGGAGACAGTTGAAACCTAAACTCAAGATGAAAGTAGACCTTGATGTCCATGGGAGAATATGAAGGACCAAGGACTAGGCACGTAGAAGCATGAATACAACTAAGTCATGCCACTGAAACCCCTTCGACCCTGAACATATTATGGGTCGCTACAAGTAAATGAATCAATTCTCCCAAAAGACTCCTGGTATTAACATCAGGATTATAGTTAGTTACTTCTCATCTGGGATGAAATCTCCAATATACAGAATAATTTCATCAGCACTTTGTTGCAACAAAAATATCAGAGGTATTCACATCATTTTTTTATGAAGAAAATCTGGCTTATTTTTACATGCACTTTAGAACCTACAGACACTATGTTTTTTGTTCTGAAATTTCCTTGAAAATGTTTTCTCAAATGTCAAGAACTGAGTAGAAACACTGATTCCCAAAGAGGCCACCAGCTAGGAAGAAGTTATCTTGATATCTGTAAATATCAAGATGCAAACGTTGCTATCTGTCAGTTTCCTCCTGCTGACTAACAGTGGTTCCACAACTCAGGGTCACATCTCACAGTCTCAGTGTCAGGAGCCTGTGGGGCTCCCCTGGGTCCTCTGCCCAGGGCCTGGCCAGGCTGCAGTCAGAACATCAGCCAGAGCCGTGGCCTCACCTGAGCCTGAACTGGGGCAGGATCCGCTTCCGAGATCACATGGTGGTTACCACTATTTTCGGTATTCAGTTGGTTCCTTGTGGGAAGCCGAAAACCTCAGTTTCTTGCTCAGTTGTTATCCGGAGGACACCTCCAGTGTCTTGCCAAATAAGCCTTCCTTGCTTCCTGCAACCGAGCCAGGAAGCCTCCTCACGAGATGGGCATTACTGTCTTATGTAACACAGTCATGAGGGTGACGTACTATCACAGTGAACTACACATGGGTGTTTCATTGGTTGGATGCCGACTTTCTGTCCACACTCAAGAGGAGGGGGTGATGCAGGGTGAGAAGTCAGGAGGTGGGATTCTTGGCTCACCACAGCGTCTGTGTGCCGTGTTGGATTTTCTGTCCCCCAGTCATTTCCATCCATCCCCCTGTGTGAAAGGAGCATTTTCCCCACTCCCACAGTCCCATTAAATCATCGCCTAATCCAGAACCTTATCATTTAAATCAGGCCCAGATGTGGATGAGGCTTCCTGGGGTGTAGTTCCCATGGGTCAATCTCCAAAACAAAGGAGATGAGTTATCTGCCAATGACACTCAGTGTGCAGTGGTGGGACAGGCTAACGATGACAGCAACCGTCATTCTGTTCAAAACGCAGGGAAATGGGAATGACAGAGGAAGACCTGCTCACTGCAGCTCTTCAGTCTGGCTGGGCAGTTCATTGGGAGTTGATTGAGTTTGGGGGTCCAGGCATGATGCTCCATGGTTCTTGGCTCTGCCTTCCAGGCTCTTAGTTCCTTAGTTCTGCTTCCCGAATTATCCTGCCCTTCTCATGAAGGTGGCGTGGTTTGCAGTTGGCCAGTTTAATCAGCCTCCTTCCTTCCGATAGAATTGAAAAGTTCCAGCAACTTTTCCTTTGCACTTTCTCTGTGCCTTTCAGTTCATGCTGGTGATACTCTATGGAAAAAAACTTTCTGGAAAACTTTCTGGGTCTTCAGTGGCGTTCTCTGGGATCCACTGCACAGGAGTCCACCCTGACAGTCCTTTTGCAGAGTGCCCTTCTCTATGTTGGGTCCTGCTGAGGTGGCTGAGGGACACCTTTGAGCTTGCTGGTGGCCTCTGCTGTCATGGAGAGGATCTTGTGGGGCACATACTTGCTCCTGGAAGGACCTTTTTTAAGACTTAATGCTACTCTGATTCTTTTATCTTTCTGAGGTTGTAACAAAAGGCTAGACAGTCACACCCTCAGCTTTTTACTCTGTGCCCGCCTTCCCAACAGTGCTTGGCACCTGTTTCTACACAGAATTATGACAGAATTATTATTTTCATAGAGTCTAGGTGTGCAGAAAAATGGACAAGTTATGGAGAAACAATAGTGGTTTATTAATTGGCTGTTAAAGGCAAAATGAAAATGAGCATCATGGGCAAAATTAAAATCCTAATTATTAATGCATCATGGAACGCATCTGTGACTTCCAATGCTTTAAGAGACCAGAAACTCAAGACAGACAATAAAATTGCAAAAACATTTAGCTCATTATTTGGTCTAAACAAGCAGCGTGTTGAAGTCTAGAGAAGGAGGGGCCCTCGGCTGGTCCAGCAGCTTCTGTTTCCTCTCACTTCTCTTGTTAGAAATGCTGCCCTTGCAGAGGGCGACACCCTGGCAGATCACGTTTATGGTCTACTGCAGAAGGAGGAGGAAAGGGGGGAAGGCAAGTTACTGACAGCATTAAAATGCAGCCAGTAGGTGACTTGTTCCCCGTGGTTGCAAGTCCCTGCCACATGCACAGACTGGAGTCAATTTTTTACTACAGTAACATGGTGGGCACTTCCAGAGGTGGCTCCTTATAGACAAATAGGAGACAGTGTTTGTGCACCATGATTTTTTTTTTTTTTTGGCATGAGGTAAATGGCACCTCAGCTGCTGTGCATTTTATTGAAGTTGGAGATTTTCTAAACACATTTATAGTCAAGTTTTCCTTTGCTCTCCTTCCTTTTTTTTTTTTTTTTTTTTTGGTTTGTTTGTTTGGGTGTTTGAAATCTGAAATTTGGGTTCAGTTGTCTGGAAAGTCACTGCCTTTCCCATGTCAGTGACCCGGTCTGAGATGGGAGACGGCCTTCTCTTTCTCATTTTACCCACAGTGAGCTACACGTGCCTATTTTTAATTAAATGCTGAGAGTTCTGCTATTCTGAATTTCCTCGACTTCTTCAAAAGGGATTCTCAAAACAAATGCAGTTTCCTCCTGGGACACTCCATGCACCAGCACACATGGTAATGTTTACTTATTATAACTCTGCACATGTGCACACACTTCCTCAGGTCAAATTCTCTTCATCTGTTGTCTCCTCATCTGCGGCTTGGTGCTTCTGTCCAAGGGCTATGCTCTCTGAGTTACGAGTCTCCTCCTTTCTTCAGCTGTGCCAAGCACATCCGCCAGCCTGAGTGCTGAGTCCTTAGGAGACTATATACTACCTTGAGAGGGAAACTCACCCCTTTTCTGTTGTCTCAAAAATGGAAAAGATGAAGAAGGGAGATAAAGTGTTCAGTTCCAGTCACTGTTCTTGTATTTGAAAGTTCAGAGAAACTAAATTGTTTGCCTGATTTGTTCTCAAGTATCTGGAGGCTAGTTGAATAGCCTCTGGCTCTCTCTCCAGACTGTCACCATCCAGACCCTTCTGGCTGGTGTTTCCTCCACCAGCTCTTTCTTCTGGAGCCACCTGCCCCCATCTGGGGAGGTGCAGATCCCATTTTGAAACATGAGGAGTTCTTTAAATCTGAGGGGCTCTGGGCTGCCCTCAGGGTGAGACACCAGCCCTAGTCATCACCTGACTCTGAGGATGTTATTACATCTCCAGAGCTCTGTGGCACTTTCTTGATTCCTTACAGAGTTCACATTTTCCCACCCTATTCAGGAAAGACAGGTCATTCCCTTTCCTGTGGCCTTTTTCTTATTTTATCTTCTCAAGAGAAGAAAAGGCCTTTGTTACTTCACCCTCTTCCCGTTCTCACCTTCCATGCTTGTCCGAAACACTAGCAGGGCTCAAGTGCCTCCTCCTCCTGGCCCCTGGGCTCGGCCTGCCCTCTGTCTTCACTCGGTGCCTGTTCCCTCCTGTTCCCACGACGTTTGTGCAGCTGGGTGGAAACAGTTCTGTCTCACAGCAGGGACAGTTCTCTTAGCTCGCTGGCTCGCTGTCAGGAGCCAGTGCCCTCCCATTTCCACAGCAGGACGGTTCTATCTTAGCTTGCTGGCTCGCTGTCAGGAGCCAGTGCCCCCCCATTTCCACAGCAGGGACAGTTCTGTCTTAGCTCGCTGGCTCGCTGTCAGGAGCCAGTGCCCCCCCATTTCCACAGCAGGGACAGTTCTGTCTTAGCTCGCTGGCTCGCTGTCAGGAGCCAGTGCCCCCATTTCCACAGCAGGACGGTTCTGTCTTAGCTCGCTGGCTCGCTGTCAGGAGCCAGTGCCCCCATTTCCACAGCAGGACGGTTCTATCTTAGCTCGCTGGCTCGCTGTCAGGAGCCAGTGCCC